CTAGGTATCCGCCCCCGGCATTTCACCGGGGAATTCTTTTCCTCCACAGAGGAGAGGGGGAAGGTGCATTGCTGGACGCTCCCGTCATGCCTTTCCTCCCAACCCTCGAGGCGGGACCTTTCAAGGAAAGAGCAATCGGACTGAGAAGTCAAATTCAGCCGCGTGCATGCACAGATTCGTCCCAATTCACTCGCGACTACAGACAAACTTGATTCTTCCAACAATCCGATGTCCATCAGCTCAGCAAACGTCAGTCAGCTCAACAGTTTACACTAGGGATCCTGGCAACGGAGTCGATGGCGGTAGAAAAAACCGCATCATCTGCTATGCGAACGAGGGGCAGCCCAGCAACACCTAGCAGTGGCACTCACCAACCCGGTCGAGAGACGGCTCTCGACGTCTGTCGCTGTCCGTCGACTTGCTAAGGCAGGCTTGAAGCCACCCGACAGCACAAAGAAACTCAAAGTCCGGATCGGACGCCGACATCAATGTTCGCAGCCAAGCCAGTCCTACACGCGGAGACGCACATCTAGCCTGGCGCGGCTAGTAGCAAGCAAGCGAAACCACGACGGTCGTCGCACGTAACTTACTCAGTTCATCCCTGCACTCCGGCATCAAGTGATGCTATCATCTCCCCGGCACAATCTACCTGGTGCTTCTGCGATACACAAGGTGGCCAGCCAAGGCAACGCAAGCCACGATTCGGTACCGTGAGCCACCGACGGACGGCGGCAACAGCTGCCATGCTGCTGCCAGATTTGAAATATTGCCGTACCAATATCGACGGGCGAGGGATACGGGTGCCAGCATGCTTCAGCTGAGTCGGCATCCCTCTTAACATTGTGTTCATAGAAAAGGACATTGACCTGAATCATTGCAATCGAACAGTGGCAATGGTTTTGTACATCCTCATTCTATCGTCAAATCTCTTCACAGTCCCAGCACTCTCCCTTGCTTCAGAGTTTTCCGTTTCGATGTCTCTCGGGCCAGGGCAAACAACAATCGCGCCCACAGCACGATTCCGAGTAGGCCCAGAGGCTTCGCAAGCTTTTCCCCTGTCCCCTGCATACCCAACCCTAAGACTGTGTGGCCTTGCCTCTAGCGGGCAGCTCCCGCCCGTCGCCCCAACCGCGAGCTCCGACAGCTACCGAAAACTTTGAGGCTAGAGCACATGCTACCTAGACCCAAACCGAGTAGCGCTGAAGTCCGTCATTCCGGAGACGGTTTCCGGCCTTGGAGCGTCGAAGGGCACCGTTGGAGGGAGGGGTAAGGAGGAATGTTGCTGGCCTGAGAATCCCGGACCGAACAAAGAACTCGCGCCGGCTTCGAGTCGGTATCTCTCAGGCTCTCCTCTCTCCTCCACTCACCAGAACACACCACCACCAACTGAATGGCCTCTGGTGCTATTCTCACCCACTTGTTGGCCTGGATTCGGCCGCACGGCCTAAAGCCAGACCAGTCAACAGGTGTCACTGACTTCGGGGTGGGCGGATCGACGCAGGCTCTGACACTGGCGAGCGGTGCTAATGCAGGGCGCCTAGCCTTGGCGTGCGTAGCGAGCTGCTTGACGGGTACAGCGCATGCGACAGGGCCCGTCGTCCCCTGTAGAGCGGCGCTTGGCTGCGGGTGCCGTGGGTCTTCAAGACGCCACAAGGGAAAAGATGGGTGGGATAGTCGCTGGGGGGCTTCCTTTTTCGGTCGTTTTCAACCATCGGAGGATGGACGGAAAGGCCAGGTGCTAGGAAAAACCTCAAACCCCCTCGAGCCGACATCCAAGGTCTCCGGTCCACCCACTCCGACCCGGTGACGACGCGGTGATAGGACGGCTGCAGGGCTTAACAGATGATGATATTCGCCGATGTTTGTGCCATGATATCATGGCGACCGGGTTGGCTGAAACGCAACAACGGGGGATTGACCAAATGACATTGGATTCCCCAGAGTCGAACTCAGGATTCCTGTTTTCGGCAAATTTATGCCGCCGGAGAAGAAGGTCGGATGAGGTCGCACGCTGTCGAGATGAAGGGATCTGGATCAGGGCTGTGGCTGGTATGGATGAGAGACAGAGTACTACGGCGCACCAATCTCAACTTGGAGTCATGGAGATGGATGACCACGGCCACTTGGTCTCCTTCATCCGTCCGAAGTACGCAGAACACATGCACACATGTACGGAGAGGATTCGCATATCCGTACACAGCTCAAAGATACGCTCTGGCAGGTTGGGATTGGGCTGGCAGCACCACATGTTTACCCAGACAACGAACATCCTGGGAGATCCTTCCCCCTCTTGACGACACCAACTTCTTTCTTGGTGTTCTGCACCAGACAAGCGCCAAAAAGAAACGGAGAAAAAGTGTACCAGGATGACACTGTTCTGGACTCTTGTCCGTCGACTAACAACGAGGAGGCTCCAGTCCAAGGCAAGGGATCAAGACATCTTTGCATCTGTCGAACTGTTCGCAGCCAATCCGTGCCTGAGGAACTCAAGGCCCCCTTTTCTTCTCCCAGGCCAGGGACGCATTCCCATCCCCGAAGTCACCAATCATGTCTGATTCTCCATGCTCAAGTTCTCAACGGGGAGAAATCACCATGTCTCGCGAGCTCACTGGATCTTTGGATGCCGCACCACATATCCACGTCTTCCACCAATCCCGACTTCCACGTCAACATGACCTCCGCCTCACCAACCCACTCTCGGTAATCGATCGGGGCACACCCCGGCTCACCCCCTCTTCCGACGACCCCTCACCGCAGGTCAAGGTCCACATCCAGCACCACGGCACGGCAAGTCAAGACAGCCTAAAGAACAGGCCAAGGCCAGGAACACAGTGCAGTGCCGACCTCCCCGTCCCCGCTGCCGTGTGCCCAGCACCGCTGAAAATCGACCGATGCCATTCTCATATCCACAACCACGCAGAATCGCTGTCTGCTTCTGGAGCCCAAACATCTCACCAAACAAGCCCGACAAGTCCAACATTCCACGCATTTCGCTCCTCACCAGCACTCATTGGTCATTTCGGCCGTGGTACCTGATCAGCAGAAGCCACACCGCATTCGAGACAGGCCCTCCAGCTTCTGGGAAATTTCCCCCAAGCGGTCGGCTGCGCAAGCCTTCTGTCTCAGCACAAGACAGGCCGGTGGTCGCAGTCAATCCAGCAGTCTATCTTCGGTTTCTCAATCATCAATTCTTCTGCTGTTTACGACGTCTTACAGGCCAGGCCCCTTGTTGTTGCCTCGTCGAATCACATATTTGGTTGCTCCGAGTACAGGATAAAGTAGTTGCAAAAATAGCAAAACAAGCAGCCCCCTCTGTTTTGCGTGCCCGGTTCGTCCGAATCGCTCTGCTTGGGGGAAACTACTGTACAGCACTCTCACCATGACTCGACGGAGGGAAAGCTGTGTTCTATCTCTGACATCACCAGGCCCAGCAAAATCATCCACGGGCTTTGCATCGGGACAGTGCAATTGAGCTTGTGGCACTGACCCTGGTCCTGGTTGAGGTGTGCCTCCAGCCCAGCCCTGCTACCAGAGGCGACCTCCCCAACCACCCCTGGGCCACTATGTTCACATCAACAACCATCAGTCATCCACCCACCCATCCACACTCGCAAATCAATATTCAACCGCTGCTATGTAGTGAAAGTGTGGATGAGGTGGCTGTGATGTTGTTGTTGTTGGTCTGATGTACAGAGTAATAAGCCTGGAATGTACATGCAGATTTGCTTTGTTCCAAGTGCTGTTTGCAAGTAGCCGCATGCCTCTCTGCATATCAGATCACAACTAATACCAACCTTCACAAACACACATGGCTACTTACACCACGTATACACACGCTACTGCAAGTTCCTTAGCTCAAGGTATTTGCTCCATCAAATCCACATTCTGGATGTCAAAGACGCGCAATACCCACGGCTGAAGCTTATCTTCCTCCCCTACCAGCCTACCCACCAGGCCTTACTCACAAGTCTACCCTCCCTTTCTTTGTATATGAACCACCGGACCCCAACCCTCCCTCCTCCTCGGTCTCCCTCTCTTCAGCTCAACTTCGCCATCCCTGCCCATACTCTCGCTCATAGGGTTGCCCTCCACCAAGGAAGCCTGCCACGTTTATTTCACTGAACCTATTCCAACACCTTATTTCTTTCCACCGACCCTTCGACACTCACTCATACGCATCGCGCGTGGCAACGGCAAAGGAACAACAGACGACCATCACCTCACACAGCATTGTGCCAGAGGTTCCATTCGAAAACAAAGCTCTCTTCCTTCCTCGGTTCTCTTCCGATCTCACGCTTCCCGTGCTTCCACGAGGCACCAACACAGGCAGTACCCGCCTTTTTTGTGTGATTCTTGAACGAGGGCATTGTTGGACAAAGCGGGTCAGGAGCTTTTGCTGGACTACCCTTCACCACTTCACCTTTGGGCAAAAATAAATCAACTTGGTTGTTGGAAATTCTCCTCACCACCACATCAACATCTCACCTGAGCTACATTGCTTTGCCAACAAACTACCTGCCACAACAACCTTCACCGCCTCCTTAGGAACCACAAGAACTTCGATTCAGGTAAGCTGATCTCTATTGCGACTCCTCTGCTGTCAGCGAGATGGGACTCCGATTCCTCTCATGGAGCGCGTCTCGCGGTTTCGTTGGCTCTATTTTGGCGATCTATGAGCTTGCTACATCGCTCATCCTCTTTCTTCCATCACGGCGGGCGACGTCATGGGCTTGTGGCATCAAACCATGAATGTGCCCGCGTTGTTGGCTCGGGTATTTTCATTGTTTGATTTCTGGGTTCAGTCAGAGCTCCCGTCGACTTTTCTGTCCCTCCTGAGCTGTCTGGTGACTCGTGAAGTGGTTTGTACTTCATGATCTCGCTGGTCCTGCGCGATCTTGCCTACATTTCCGGAGGATCGGCACACTATATGAAAACTCAGAATCCTCAACTTGAGCGAAAATGAATCAGTCATGCTAATACATACATCTCTAGCCAACAAGATGCGCTCCTTCGCGATCATCCCCGCCGCTTTGGCTACCTTGGCCGTGGCCATGCCGCAGGCTGCTCTCAAGCCATCAGCGAGCCCCCCGGCCGGTTGCTCCACAAGCTACACTGGCAACTTCGGTCTGACCGTTGTCGAGCTCGGAAAGCGAAGCCTCGATGTAAGCCTACCAGCCTCCGAAAAAAAATGAGATTTTATACTGACAAATGCAACAGAAGCGTGGCTCCTGCACTGGAACTGGTTCTTTGGACCTCACCCTCAAGGACGGTGTCCTGACCGATTCCCAGGGCCGCACTGGCTCCATCGTCGCCAACTACCAATTCCAGTTTGACGGTCCCGCTCAAGCTGGCGCCATCTACACCTCTGGCTTCTCCGTCTGCTCCAACGGCTCCCTTGCCCTCGGAGGCTCCACCACCTTCTACAGATGCCTCTCTGGTGACTTCTACAACTTGTACGACCGTCACTGGGCTGAGCAGTGTTCTCCCATTCACCTCTCGGCTCTCCCTTGCGGCTCCGATGCTCCCGTTCCCTCTGGACAGGTTGTCGGTACCACCATGGTTGTGACCACTCTCGTCACGGTTATCGGCGACGGTCAGCCTCAGGTTGTCCCGACCACGATCCCCGTCCCTCTCTGCCAAATCGGCGATGGCCAGGTTCAGGGCCACACCACCCCCTGCGGCGAGCTGCCTCCTGTCACTGTGACGCCTTCTGCTCCCGCCAGCCAGCCTCCCTACACTCCCCCGGGAACCCCCGTTGCCCCACCTGCAACTACCGCGCCGGTCGTCCCGCCGGTCCCCACCACGAAGGTGCCCGTTCCGGTTCCCTCGGTCCCGTCGACCCCCGTCAACAGCACGGCGGTCGTGACCACCCCTGGCACCACGGCTACCACGCCTGCGACCACGACCACACCGGCGGCTCCCCCCGTTGCTGCTGGCCAGAACCTGGCTCCGGCTTCGTTTGTCGCTCTCGTTGCCACTCTGATGGCAGTCGTCTGCCTTATCTAAGTCGCTTGACTCGGAATGTGTGGGTGGACTTGAATTGGTTCACAAAGGCTTAATTGGCATTTTTGCTTCTCAATACCCTGCCAAGAAATCGGCATTTTAATTCCATGATGATGACCAGGAAACGGACTTTGTACAAGAGCAGAGGATGGATGGGTTTGCAGGTTTGCAAATAGGTAGCTAGATAGTTGGAAGGGGCTGTGACAAGTTCCTAACTCCGCCACTAGAGCAATACCAGCACATCTTCAGCTGTAACAGTTTGAAATGACTTCGTGATCAGTGACTGGCGAACATGGCATCCGATGTCGCTGCGCACCGCAGGGAGTGACATTCCACCTGCAGGGATGTGACTGGAGATAAGATAAGAGCTGCACGGACCTCAGCGCAGACATCTGGGCCGAACCTCCAAATTTCTGGCATGCGCATCCTGCCGTGACGTCTCGGCCAACCTTCTTTCGCTCTGACAACACACGAACACCCAGCCATCTCTTTCGACCAACATCTCTCTCTACCTTACCTCTACCTACACACGTACGCACGTACACCTGACACGTACGCAACGCGCACATACAGCCATGTCAGAATACTGGAAATCGACACCAAAGTACTGGTGCAAGCACTGCAGCATCTTTGTCCGCGACACGAAGCTTGAACGCCAGAACCACGAGGCGACGGGCAAGCACCAGGGCGCGCTCAAGCGGTTCCTGCGCGACCTCCACCGCGGCCATGAACAAGAAGAGCGTGAAAAGGACAGGGCGAAGCGCGAGGTGGAGAGGTTGAAGGGGATATCGTCCGGCACGCCATCATCATCATCATCCTTTTCAAGACCCGGCGGTTCGAGCAGCAGCGGCGGGCCGCCGTCGGCGGAGGCGCAGCGGAAACAGCAGATGGAACAGCTCGCCGAAATGGGCGTTTCGATACCGACGGAGTTTCGGGGCGATATGGCGATGGCGGGGGATTGGACGGTCACTGCGACAAAGGTTGTCGACGACGAGGAGGCGGCGAGGGAGAGGGACAAGCCTGTTGAGGCTAAGGCTGTTGGGGTGAGGAAGCGGGAGCAGACGGAGGAGGAGAGGGAGGAGGAGGAGGCTGTGAGGGGGTTGTTTAAGAGGCCTAAGAAGTGGGGGAGCACGAGGACGATGCCGGCTGACGACGAGGATCTTGATGCGTTGTTGAGTGGGAATACGCTGATGAGGGCTGTGAAGAGGGAGGAAGAGGTGAACAAGGCTGAGGTGGATGTCAAGACTGAGGTGAAGCAGGAGGGTGAGGGGGAGGATGCGGCGGGAGCTACGTCTGATGCGCCGGCTGTTAAGAGTGAGCCGGTGGAGGACGAGGCTGGGAAGGGCTTGGACGTGCCGGCCTTGGGAGAGGACGGCGTCAAGAAGGAGGATGAGGCTGCGGAATCCACGGAGGCCGCGGCGCCGGCGGTAGTGTTCAAGAAGCGTAAGCCCAAGAACATGCGACAAAAATGAAGATTTTCTTCTTTGGTGGGGAATGGATATACAGCAAGTCTGGGGTGCATAGCAAGGCGTTGGGCATTGGGTTCATACACTACATAGATACGGGGTTTTCGAAAGGATGTACAGATCAGCGGCCTCTTAGACGAATGGTCAGGGATAAATACCATGGATGTTTGCATCATGATCAATGGGAGTATTGGTCTGGCCGTCTGGCGTGTTGGTGCACAGTTGCATTGCATTGGTGATGGACGAATCCTTCTGGAGCGGCAATACAGCGTTCTATGTCCCATCGTCCCGTGTCCCATTGTCCCATTACCAAACGTGCCAATTACTGGGCCTGAATCTTCCCCCGGGAGTCTAGGACGGGGGTTAGCGGGGTAACACGTGACTCACTGGGGAAATGGAAGTCACTGCGCGCACCGGCACCGGGCAGAACGGGGACATTTCCTTCTCTTCCATGCGTCCAGTCATTGATTTTCTCGGCACGCGTGGACCTCCAACTCCCGTCACTCATTTCCATTGCCTGGTAACGTGGTTGGGGTCACACTCACTCACGTCCAACCTCTCTCATCCAAGGTGGACACCAAAACCTAAACAGCGCAACATCAACGAACAAACACAATCAGATCAGACGTTCAATCTCACCCTCACCCGCGCACTCAAAACGACCTGGTACACCATGAGGCTTCGCAATGGAAAAGACGATGGTGTCCCCCCCAGCAGCTAGTCCCTCCACCATATCCCCAGCCAGCAGCTCTCACCTCGGCAAACGCCACGACCACAGCGAGGACGCCCAAGAATCGTCTTCCGGCGGTGGCTACAATGGCGGACCGTCATCAACAACCGGCCGCAAATCCTCATCATCCGGCGGCTCCCGCCCCAAAAGAGCCCAAGTCTCCCGCGCCTGCGCCCGCTGCAAAAACCTCCGCCGCGCATGCAACGAATACCGCCCCTGCAAGCGCTGCGTCGACGCCGGCCTAGGCGACCAGTGCCTCGGCCTGCCCGGCCCCGTCTCCCTTGCCTGGGTCTCGGACGGCTCCCAGGCCTTTGGACACATTCCCCGCGAAGCTGTCCAGCGCATGGCCGATCTTCTTCCGGCGCGGGTCATGGATTACTGCGTCGATCGCTTCTTTGCGCGGTTGCACCCTACCATTCCCATCTTGACGCCCGAGTACGTTGCGCAGATGAAGGTCGTTGCCGGGCCGAGTGAGGTCGGGATGGAGGCGCATTGTCTTCTGACGGCTGTGTGCGCGTTGGTGCTGCTTCAGGTGGAGGAGCCGGAGAGTCTGTGGATCCAGGGCCTGATTCCGGAGAAGAACGCGCTGCATGGGCGCATGTTGTTCGAGGAGGCGCTCGCGGCGCATCGGAATTTCGCGAGGAGGTCGAATCCGACGTTTGAGCAGTGTCTGCTCACGTTTTTCCTGTACGCGTGCCACTCTGCGCTCTTTCACCACAGCCAGGCTTTCTTGTTTCTGAGAGAGGCGACGACGCTGTTCTTGCTGCTGCGGATGAATACACCCGAGGCGTCGGCGAGTCCGGCGGCGGCGGTGCTGGCGGACCGCTTGTTTTGGGTTCTGTTGGTGTCGGAGCGGTCGCACGGGATCCGGTACCGGCGGCCCGTGACGCTGCAGATCACGGCCGAGTCGCCTACCCTTGGCGCCGACGACCCGAGCCTTTCGGGGTTTTGGAGTTTGGCGGCGCTGTTCAGTCCGCTGGACACGTCGTTTATCGCGCTGTTGAATATGGAAAAGGTGGCGACGCCGCCGTCGAACGCGGCGTTGACGTATATCGAGACGGCGGTGAATGCGGCGCTGCGGTCGACTTCGGACCTCAAGGACACGCAGAAGGCGAATCTGAGGGTGACGCAGCTGTGGTTGCGGATCATTCTCTGGCAGCTGCGTCTGCGGTTCGGGTACCTTGCTGAAGAGTCTGTTCACTCGCCGAGCATGACGTATCACTACCCTCTCGAGGTGGCCAAGGACCTCGTGCTCTCGACGCGGGATTTACCCGTGGACAGTATCAAGGTGCACGGGGTTGGGTTGACGGAGAAGCTGTTTGATATCGCGAGCGCGGCGGTGGATGTGCTTGCGAGGGTGCCGATTACGAAGCCGTCGAGCCCGAGGGGCGGCCGGATGGGCGGGACGGGCAGTGGGCCGGAGGATGATTTGGAGTATATGCGGCGGCTTATTACGAGGTTGCCGGGGGGCAATTCGATTTACGATGACTTGTTGGAGAAGCATATTCAGCAGGCTGTGCCGAGTATGGCGATTGCGGGGACGTTGGCGCGTCGGCCGACGTGAGTTACGTTTTGATACCATGGATATGCAGCATATAGCACTTGGGAGGAGAAGGGAATGCGGGTTCAGAGATGGCGGAGTGAGATTAAGACCTGTTCATTATGCATGAGGTTACGCTAGTAGTGTATCTAGTAGAACAATAACTCCAAATATAGGGGTATCCAACATCCTCAAGGCCCACTCCTCGACACGTCCTTTCCTTGTCTCTTTCTGTCTCCCATCAGTGGCATGACAAATACAAGACTTAATGCTCCTCGGCCAACTTCTTCTCGCTGTTAAGCTCATGCGAGTACGGATCAATCTTCGTCTCCGCAAACTTCCTTGCCGAGACCTTGTGCTCAAACAACAGGTCCAGCTCGGCGTACGTCCTCCCCTTTGGCTCCGGCACGCGGAAATACACCCACACGGACGAGAGCAGACACGTGCCCGCCCAAAACAGCGCCGTGCGCGCGCCCCAGTTCCACGCCGTCGACGAGAGCTGGTAATTCGTCATGACATTCACAAAGATGTTGCTGGCGTTGTAGCCCGCGCGCGCGAGGACGATGGTCTTGTTTTTGAGACGCGTGGAGGAGAGCTCCGAGACGAGGGAGTAGGTTACGGGACCGACGGTGAAGTCGTAGACGAACGTGAAGACGATGAGCATGGCGCCGATGGCCCAGACGGAGGCGTTGCTGTCGGAGAAGGAGAGGCAGCCGACGATCAGCAGAAGGCAGAATTGCGCGCAGAGGCCGGAGAAGTGGATTGTGCGCCGGCCGATGCGGGACATGAGGAACCAGGAGCCCGCGGTGCCGACCATGCCGAGGGCGTACTGGCCCATTGACAGGGAGAAGGAGTTGCCGGGGTCCATGCCGGCCTGCGTCAAAAAGTAGGCAAAGTAGCCCATGAGGTTCTGCCCGCCGAGGGTCTGGACGAGCCAGATGCCGACGACGATTTCGGTGCGGCGGAGGTCGACGCCCTTGAAGCAGTCTGCGTAGGTCACGCCCTCCTTTGCGCGCTTCTCGAGCTCGTTTGTGTGCTCTATCATGGCGATCGTCTCGTCTGGGTTGAAGTTTGGTTGGTTGCGGGAGGTGAGGCGGAGGAGGGCGCGTTTGGCGGCTGGTTTGTCGTTGTGGCGGACGTACCACCAGGGGGATCTGCTGTTGTCAGTCAAAGCACAGCAGAGAATGGCTTCTTGAGGGAAAAAGATAAATAAGTATGGAATCTGGGATTGAAACTTACTCAGGGGCGAAGAAGAGGCCGATGAGGATGGGGATGGGCCACACCCATTGGACTCCAAAGGGGATTCTGTAGGCCCATTCGTCCTGGTGGTGGTAGGAGCCCTTGTTGACGGCCGCGGAGAAGAATTGTCCGATGACCTGGATTTTGTTAGTTTGCAACGTCTTGTAGTTTGCCTTCTCGTCCTTGTGAAGAGTGACCTACCCAGCACATGTTGATGAAGGTGGTGAGATACGGCCTAAGAACGACGGGAGCGACCTCGGAGGCATACGCTGGCGTGACACTCTGGAAAGCACCCCAAGGGATTCCTGCAAGACGTTAGCAGCGATACTCGAAGCCAGGATGGAAGTCGGGGCATTACCGCAGAGAACCTCCCCAAGCACCAAGATCTGCACATTCGGCGCAAAGAACAGCACAAAGATGAACGCAATCATCAACACCAGGAACCCCATGGTCGTCACCCGATACCCGTACCGATCCGCCGTCCAGCCGGCAATCACAAGCCCGAAAATCTCGCCGGCGCGGGCGCCGTTGCTGAGGCCGGACTGCCAGGCGGCGGAGATGACGTACTTGTTCTGGGCCTCGACAAAGGTGCCGTACTTGCGCTGGAAGACGGCCGAGGAGTAGAGGTTGCTGAGGAGGGCGAGGTCGTAGCCTTCCATGATGAGGGTGGAGGAGAGGAGGACGGACCAGCCGATTGCTTTTGGGTAGGTGCGGATGGCTTCGAGGAGGGACATTTTGTGTTCTGCGGAGGCGGCTTGGGCTGCCTCCGCGACGAGGTCTTCTGGGTGCGCGGCATTGTGGTTGTTGGGGGTTGCGGTGTTGGTGTCGTCTGTGATTGAGGTGTGGTGGTGGATGCCTGTTTCCTTGTCCTCTGGGACGGGGGAGGAGACCTTTGGGTCGGCCATTTTGAAGTTGTTTATTGTATGTACGGGGTATCAAGATTTATGATGCTGGAGATATTACGGATGAAAGATTGGATGAGATGTATGAGATGATGATGAGGAGGATTGAGGGAGGCGGGTGAGACTCGGGGATGCGCGAAAGTCGGACGCCTGAAGGAGGGAGGTGAATTAAGTTGAGGAGGGCATTCGGGGCGTCTTATATCCCTCCAAGGGTGGAAGAACCCGAATCAACTTGACAGCTTCGGTTGCAACAAGAAGGGTCGTAGTCAAAGTAACATTAGAAAGTGTTTGTAGCGCAACAGTGAACAATGGACGCGGTAGTGAGAAAAAAGGTGAGGTGAGAGGTTGGAAAATAAAATAAAAATCAGAGCTAAAAGTTCAGTGACAAGACGCCCTGCGCTTGAACCGTGCGCTCTACCGTAGTAATTAGTTGCGGTTCCCCTTGGGGAATAAGTTCGGGGAGGGGAGGGGAGAGGAGGGGGTCCTGGACAAGATTGGTTTGGCGTGATTACGTTGATTTTCGTGTGTGGTCATGATGGTGAGGTGAGGGAAGGATTTTGCAGCATGTTGAAAGTATGTCAGTCTCGGTTGACATGGGGTGGTTTGTTGCTGTGCCAAGCATCTGATTTTGGTGATGAGCCATTCCCTCCCCGGTCCTCAGTAGGGTGGAGGTTAGTCGGTGACTCTGTGGTGGTTAGGGGGAGGGGAAGATGTGTCGAATCACGTTGTTTTTCCCAACTCCATGGGCAATTTGTGGAGAAGCGGAGGATCAGTCTGTCAGTCTACCGGTACGGAGCAGGTATGAGAAATGATTGTGGAGATGACATGGAGCGACAGGATTGGTCTCTTGAATCTCGTTTTGGAGGGTTTCCCAGCTGGACCACCAAGACTTTGGAGACGAGCATGGAGATGGAATCTCAAGCTATGGATTGATGGAGAACCAAAGGCTTCACTAAGCCTTCTACAGGTCTGGTGATGGCGTTCTCGACTCGTGCCAAGGCGTAGCTGGAACCCATTCTGATCATTCTGAAGATGGCGGCACGAGGCGTCAACAGGAGACTCCGCCGGTGAAAGTTGTTGTGTACGGAGAGTCCGTATAGATAGATCAAGGGAAATAAGGAAAAAGTAGGGATCGGAAGGATGGGTTGACGCTATTCGCACCACGGCATCCATCTCACGAGGTCGAAACTAGATTGAGCGCCTCACCATCCCCGAGCCGAGCTCCATGCGCATGTGCGGCGTAGCCACCGTCAGCCAGGCCCGGGGCGTGGTCTTTCCCCAGATTCGGGATGAGACCAACCCAGCCATCCATGATCCAGCCCAGTTCTCCAGACTTTTGTTGGACGGCCCTGAAGCTCATCACCACTTTTTTCTTCCAGAGGCTTGACCGAGGCGAGGTCTGATTGGTGGGAAGGCATGACGTTTGTGGCTCCCGCGGGAGACAGGGGGGTCGGAGGGAGGTGCGGAGTCTAGCGGAGCATCTCCGGGTCCGGGTGGTCTCCACTATTCGAGGAACGACAGGGAAGGCGGAGTCTCCGCCCGTTGAAGATTTCTCTTTCTTCATCTTTTTTGCATCTTGTGTCACGGTACATCTGAAATGCATCATCATCCGATAAATGACAGCCACCATGTGCGGCGGATGCGGAGTCTAAGCACTTTCTTTCCATGTTCCAAGCCGCCGGAGCGCTAATCAAAGGCTAATGATGAGCAGAAAAATCATATGAAAATTGAGCAAAAGACAATCCCGCATATCTCCGCTTCTTCAACAACTTTACGGAGTACTGCGCACTTACGGATGCTTCGTATCCACCTTGGCACATCGAACGGGCGGAAGCAATGCGGAGTGAGGGGAAACCTGTCTCCTGCGACCATACGTTGCATACCTCACCGTACCTTACTGCGTATGGATACTTGATGCGAACCTGTGAGAGTGTGCGAGAGAGAGAGAGACGCAGCTACGAAGACTCAGCAATTAGATAACTAAGAAAAGGCGGGGAACAAGCTCATTCTCCCATCGGCATCCCCACAGACAAACGCACTCTCTTTTGAATTCTCACCCCGTCACACCTCACGCGATGCATCCTTTTCTCCCCACGGCCCTTCTACGGACTGATTCCGCCGGCACGACATTCATCCCCCCCTCCCCCCGTCCTCGATAGAAGCAGAAACCCTCGCCCGAAATGAACCACTCAACCCACACACGGCCACGATAACCACGACTCTACTCCCGAGTCCATTTCCCTTCGCACGAATACCCGCTACGCATACTCCCCCCACGCCCATCGCTCTTCTCTCCGCTGCAGGTCATGTCGCCACGCCATTTTTCTGCCCCGGCTACTGATCGCCGCCGTCCCAAGTCCGATGCAGCCCATTCGCCGCGTGGTCAAAATGCGAATCGTTCCCGGCGCGTCCTGACCTCTGCCCATTGACCTCGGATCTCTCCCACATTCGATCCTCACTCAACTTGACATCATCCTCCTCCTCTGCTACTCATCCCTCCTCCTTCTTCCGCCGTCTGTCTGTCCCTCTCTGCAACTCGTCTACTTCCACCTACCTGATTGACGACAACCCGCCCTCATTACAGCGTGGCTTGATACGGTGATACCTATCCAACAGCCCCTCCTTCACCATGGGATCCCTCGTCTGGGACGATGAGAACCGCTGGGTAGGCAAGCAGCCCTGGTGGAAAGACGCAACCTTTTACCAAGTCTACCCCGCCAGCTTCAAGGACTCGGACGGCGACGGCTGGGGCGATCTCCCCGGCCTCATAGCCGAGGTCGACTACCTCCACGAGCTCGGTGTCGACGTCGTCTGGGTCTCCCCCATCTTCGAGAGCCCCCAAGCCGACATGGGCTACGACGTATCCGACTACCAAAAGATCTACGCACCCTACGGCACCGTCGACGACGTCGATACCCTGCTGGACGAGTGCCACAAGCGCGGCATGAAGGTCATTCTCGACCTCGTCGTCAACCACACCTCTGTCGAGCACGCCTGGTTCAAGCAATCACGCTCCTCCAAGGAAAACCCCAAACGCGACTGGTACATCTGGAAGCCCGCGCGCTACGACGCCAACGGCGTGCGGCACCCGCCGACAAATTGGCGCGGGTACTTCGCAGGCCCGACGTGGACCTGGGACGAGCACTCCCAGGAGTACTACCTCCATCTGTACGCCCCCGACCAGCCCGACCTGAACTGGGACAACGAGGCCTGCCGCGAGGCCATCTACGAGGACACGATGCGCTTCTGGCTCGAGCGCGGCGTCGACGGCTTCCGCATCGATACCGTGAACAAGTACTCCAAGCGCACAGACTACGTCGACGCCCCCGTCACCGACCCGACGTCGCCGCACCAGCCCGCGCCCGAGATGTGGTGTAATGGACCCCGCATCCACGAGTACATCCGTGAGATGAACCGCAAGGCCCTGGCGCCGTACAATGCCGTCTCCGTCGGCGAGCTATCCCTGACGCCGCACCCGTCACAGGTGATTCCTTACGTCTCAGCTGCGGCGAAGGAGCTGGACATGGTATTTGAGTTCTCCGTGATTCGGCTGGGTAACGGGAACGGGTTCGGCGCAAAGTACATTTACCAACCGTTTCCGCTGTCGACGTTGAAAAGGTACACGGAGACGTGGCAGTCCTTCATCGAGGGGACGGATGCCTGGGCGACGGCGTTTTGCGAAAACCACGATAATGGGCGCGCGGTGTCGAGGTTTGGTGATGATTCGACGCCCGAGCTGTGGCTTGCTTCAGCCAAGACGATTGCGCTGTGGCAGGCGACCATGTCTGGGACGCTATTTCTGTACCAGGGCCAGGAGATCGGCATGACGAATATGCCGGCCAGTTGGGGGATAGAAGAGTACAAGGATATCGAGAGCAGTAACTTCTACTCGGAGGCGTTGGAGTCTGGGGATGCGGAGCGGATCGAGAAGACGATGCATGGCTTGCGCATCTTGGCGAGGGATCACTCGCGGATACCGTTCCAGTGGGATGATAGCCCCAACGCTGGTTTCACGAGGGAGGGCGCGAAGCCGTGGATGAGGGTGCATGACGAGTACAAGTCTATCAATGCCGCGAAACAGCGCGGCGACCCGGACTCCATCCTGTCGTTTTACAAGAGGGTGCTGAAGCTGAGGAAGCAACACCGCGATGTGTTCGTCTTTGGGTCGCATCGGTTGATTGACCCGGAGAACGAGAGGACGTGGGTTATACTCAAGGAGAGTCCTGCGCCGGTGAGTGGAAAGGATGGCGGGGTGAAGAGGAAGGCGCTCGTGGTGATGAACTTTTCGAAAGAGGATGGGGAGAGTGCTGGGGATGTTGCGGCGTTGCTTGGGTGTGAGGCGCCTGAGGTGCGGTTGTTAGTTGGCACGAGGGAGGGCGGGGAGTTGGTGAAAGGGGTTGCGCCGGCGTTGAAGGGGTGGGAGGCGAGGATTTATACCAATTTTTGAGAGTTTATATGTTGAATACCATGATGCTTGGCAGAAGTTGGGTTCAGAAACGAGGAGGGGCTCTAATGATATCGATGTTCATGCCAACCTAGACTAGTTCCTAGATCTTATGTAGCCAACTTTCTATTGCTTAAAACCTTTGCTCGTTTCAATAAATTCCGACCAAGGTCTGGGAAGTAACAAAGACACTCTTGGCATTTTATAGTAACACTATACCCTTAGTTGGAACCAATAATCGAACGACATCCAGCGCTTACATACAAACAGGAAGCAAAGTAGTTAAAGTAGAACAGCAAATACTGAGCTTACTCCGAAGCGTCCTCTTCATCTGGAGCTTGGAAAACAATGACCCCATGTCCCGCGTCTCCATCATCGAGCGTAACAGACTGGATGTCAGTACTCATTTCTTGAAATTCTCCTGCAGCCGGCAAGCTCGCTTCGCCGTCAACCGACTCCGGGTCTTTAATGCCGCTCTTCTTACGTTTCATAAACTCGCCGTAATGGAGTTGCTTCCTCTTCCCCCATCCCTTCGGCTCAATCTTCAATAACTGATAGCCGAATATGATATCCTGCATCGCCTCGAACCCATGCTGTTCTCTCTGGCCCTTTGAACCACTCACTTGCGCCCCAACACTAACCTCGGGCGACACTTCCACCCCGACCTGAGCATGTGCCGCCCTGTCTGAGCTACTGCTCTGCTTCACAGCAAACCCCTTGGCGATCTTGAGCCCCGTGATCATGTACACCGGCTTCGCCTTAATCCTCTCCATATTCATAAACGGTTTCACTGCGGGACTATTACACCGCTCGTGGATCTCCTCGTGCGAGGGGTGGCGCAGGAGGTACGTCGTCTCCAACACGTCCATGGTGTATTCGCCGTGCCTGACGTTACTGCGGCTGGCGCCGACCTTGAGTTGGATCTTCTCGAGGAAGACGCTCCACATGCTGACGTCGAAGCGGCGGGCTGTCTCTTGCGACATGCGCCAGTTGCGCTCGCATGCCGTGTCGGTGGCATACGCGCTGCCACTGCTGGGGTCTGCGTAGCTGCAGACTACGTGCGGTTTGAAGGGGTCGACGATGATGTTGCCGATGGCGATGGGGCCGCCTGGGCGGAAGGTCCATTGGGGGGCTAGGAGGTATGTTGGGTTCTGTACGAAGTCCATGTTGGAGTCAGCCAGATGGAGTATCTAGTGAAGTAACGTCGAGTCTGTTGGTTGCCTGCTTGCCTAGCTTGCTGATTTTTAGTATTTAAGCACATCGTCTTAAGCACCCTGGCACCCTCCCCCCCCACGCTCTATGACGATAGAATGTCGTGCTTCATTGGAAAATGAACGAGGACTTGCTTCTTCCACTACAATCATACTGCAATCAGTGCGGCTGAGGCCCGATGGCATTCCATGCATTACGCTGGAATCAAGGGCATCACAACCCAACGAGATCCGGGCACAAAATCACTACCGCCGCATACGCGACATTCAAATACTGAAACCTAATGATGCGTAAATTACGGAGCTAATACCACGAGGCTTGGTCAGATATGCTGGCTTGACCTGCATCAGGTGAAGATATCCGTCGGTAATGAACTAGGGATCTGCTTGGTGCATAACCCTATCTCCGGCATTGCGCCTATTAACCTTCCGCATTTAGAGCAACGCGAATAACTAACAAAATATGGAGTTACCAAAGTATAGAAAGAAATCAAGATATTATGAGCTAATTGGGAAAGGGAAATACCAAGAATAGGGGTTTGCTATGCATCATCCCAAATCAAATGCCGAGGTGTAAGACAAGCTGTCTTACTCCCTTGAAAGGCAGCATGCCTCGCTTACTTGACATGAACGCCTTTGATACTTTTATTTCCCGTAGCTTCGACTTGAGATTGCTGATCGATGTGGTTGTTCGCAAGATAATAACACTGAAGTGGTGCTGCAAACTCCTCGGTGGAAGTTGATAAAACACAACAAACATCGAGGGAAAATATTTTCCATGAGCAAACCTCCGTTGCGTACCTTTAGCATCTACAAGGAGGGCATCGAATAATTTCCCTCATCCAGCGCCTAATTGCGACGAAAATACTGGGAGGATAAGAAAATGCTTTCTCCTAGGTCATTCGAAGACTGGACTCGGGGAGTATGGACCTCTTTCGAAAGTCTTGTGCCCTGGACGTATACACCTTTCATCCAGTGGCCATGTCAAATCCTTTGCTATCCTTAATTTGAATTCAGAAACGATAAATGTGATAATGGTTTGAGCCTTGATATCCACAGATTCGGGGTGCTGACTAATTTTACCATCAATCAATGTTCCTAACTCCATGTCAGACTCCATTGGACGCACAAGTAATACTTGAACAGAAGACTCTGCCGCCACGATGCAACGAATATCTCAGCTCACTCTTCGCAACATTGGGCTACCAATATATCCGATGAGATTCGAGTATAATATTTAATAATCGATTCTCTACAACACTCAATAAACTCTCAAGAACGTTCTTGAAGCTTCGGAATGATCCTTTTTAATTATCGCATTGGGTGCCGTCGTAGAATGAACGGTTACACAACGTAGCATATTGCACTGATGAAGCTAAAGCTTTGACACAAGTTTTGTATTACGAATTCAATCTATTAACCCATTCATGAGATGTTCGTAATTTGAATTGACTCTGACGGCCTTATGAAATTCGGAAATCGATAACTTGATGTGATAGGAAGTCTTCAAAACTACTCCCGTTGGGCGCACCGATCCTCAGTCCCTCATTCTCGTATTATCATAGAATCTCTCTGAAGGAGTTTAAAAATCTTATGAATGTAAAATTCTGTTCCTCATAAAGAGTCTCTAAGCTGTCATCTTCAGCCGATTTACTAGACGTAGTCAATTCTGAATCCGAAGCTTCTGATCCGCTGCCTTCTTGGACATCTTGTTGATCTGGCTTGCGTACTGAGACTTCTTGAGTCTCAACCTCAATGAGCCCCTTGGGCACTAATTTTGAGATTTAGCTTGGCAGCGAAGATTTTGAGCAGAGCACTAACCAATCTCCAAGAATTCCTCCAAAGCCTCCAGCAAGCCCTCGAGGTGACGGCATATTACTTTACTCGCATTATTTCTATCTCTCAAGCGCTGATCAAGTGACGATTTACTGCTGCTTCTTGTGTTGAAGCTAGCCGCCCAGATGTTAAAGTCGGCCTGACGGTCTTCCATCCACGCTGGAGCGGAAGCAGATCCTTAACTGACGATGAGCCGGCCGAAAGCAGCTTTGCAGTCTGATATGCGCTGGGGGATGGCAGGGGCTTCCATGTTAGGACGTAACCGGTTGGTGTTGGCTCACAAGGCACGTGGATTGCGATGTAAAGTTGGAAGTTCCCCAACGTCGCCGTTGTGCGAATTAGAGATGTTTTAGTACTTTCAATCTGGGCTGTTGTTGAACAATAACCTATGGAGACGGCTTTGTTTGCTTTTCACAGAATTGGACATTGGTCGCGAGGGAGTTTGGCAGTAGAGAGACGGGAATGGAATCCCTTGTTCGAGAACAATGAGCACAAAGGAACCTGGCTTCGATCCAGTTGCCCTCCTCTTCCAAGCCAAGTTTTGTTAGCTAGGAGCCCACCTCTTTTACCACACTCAGGCGTGGGATGCTGCTAATTTCTACCCTTTCTTCTCCTTTCGTGCTCGAATCACGTTGTGTTTTGCTGCATTAGCGGTAAATCAAAGGCTGATTTACTTGCCAATCCAAAATTTGTATCGGATCGCAATTCATGGGCTCTTGACGAGGAAGAAAGAATGTATAGGGATTGAATGCCTCAAAACTTGCTAAATTACAAAGATCTCGCTTCCATCTCCAGGTGCAATCATCTTTTTGTTTGCAACTCCTTCCTTGCGCAGGGTGTCCTTCATTTCAACAAGAGCAGCCCCAGGATTCATGAAAGTCGACCCTTTGGAATAGATCTCATGGTTCCATGTGGGATCCATAATGCCCTTGCGTATCTTGATGACTTGCACCGCCCAGACGAAGTCAGAAACATGCCCGCTTGACAATGACAGATTGTTCTCTGACGAACTGTCTATGTTGAAACCAACATCGGCCACACCAGAGAACCCACTGATCAAAGTTAGTCTTCATGTTGATAAGTACAGTCATCTCCTTCAGAACAATGGGGTTTGCTAGTTGGTTGTCTTACGCTCCGAGGCCGGCTTGGACTCCAATGTTACGTGTCTCCAATCGGGCGACTTTCGCACCACGAGCGACAATCATCCCAGTGATCATGAAGCAAGACCATGATCCCATTCTTTTGCTTCTTTGGATGTATCTCGACACCTCATTAGTAGCAATGCTGTCCTCTATGTATGAGTGTGTTGGTCGCATCATGTAGCTATCGAGAGCCTCGAATTCGGCATGGTTGATGACAGTTTTCTGGAACGCTATGCCAGCGCTGGTAGTCGCAGTAATGCCAGCAGCCGCCATAATAGGTGCACTGATCTGACCGGAGTGGTTTATTGACGGTCCCGACATTTTCTTGTAGATTGGGTTTTCGCGCCTCCTATGGAAGATGGGCATATCCACCGGGATCTCCATTGGGCCCCGAGTGTTGATGACGTCGTCAAAGTGCGAAAGATCGGGTACGATGTGACCACAGCAGTACAGCCCCTTGAGCTGTCCGGTACACCCGGCCACGTCGTCGGTCAATCCGATGGGCGGCGGATAGTGCGTGTTCCGCAGTACGAACCAGCATTTTTCCATTGTCGTGAAGAGTAAGATTGTGAAAGAAGTATGATTCTGAGAGAATATGAAAGTGAGCGTTGAATGCGTTCCTGTCTTGATTTATATCTCAATTTAGCTGTGTACCTTAGTGAAAGGGGATGGAAAGGCAGAGTTCCCCCTTATATAAGAGGAAATATTCTCAAATGTCCTCTAAAGACCAATTGACCATGAACCTTAATAGTATTTGTGATATAATCTCAGCGCTTAGGAAGAAAGCGCTTAGTTTGGCCAACTTTTCCCCAGGCATCAGTGGATATCACCATGTATCGCACTTCAGTTTTATCGTAATCCCGGTCCAACTTGCTGTTGCCGCCGAAATCAGTCCAGGAGGCTCTTCTGGGTCCAACCGCATGGTCCACTTCTAAGCGCCCGCATCGTCTTCAAGTTCCAACACAGGCAGATCATCTAAATTAAGTTTTCTGTTGGTTACTCCGAAACACACATCTTGACCAGGAAGGAATAAATGCTATCCTTGGCGTTGGTAGTGAAAGACAGGCTGGCGGTTATCCGTGCATAGGCTCCACTGAGAGAAATCATCGATCAATTCGTTCTTCACGAAATCAGCTCCAGATGAGCGCACCAAGCAATATGAAATCCACAATAGCTCTTCTCAAGTCCCTAGTTTCATGCTCTTGCAAAGCTTATAGATATGATATTTGAAAGTTCACAACTATGTTGCGTATGAGTTAGGGTGGTTTCATGACTCATCAGAGTTCTGCAATACCCCGAGGTGGGTGAAGCATTTATGAGAGTAATTGTGCCAAGCCCCTTCAAAGGCCCGTGTAAGGCTGTTTGCGCCACTTAAGCAGCTCACCAAAACAGAGAGCCCTCAATTGAACAAGAGAAACTAGCAGAGGTAACAATATGGACAAAACAAGCTCAAGAAAATTACCAGTGTCATCTTGCCGAGTCGGGCTGAGTGCTTGCGATGGATTGCATATATCAACACGGAGCCGATGAGATGGCCATCGGTGTGAACGGCACGACTGAAGGCCATCGAAACAGGACTAGCGGCGCAAGCAGGATTGTGCTTTTAAGCCAGGACTGTAATACAACGGTTCGTTGCTTGGGGTGTCCTGGCTGTCTTTACGTACCCAGACAAGGAGATAACAACAATAGCGGCGGTGGTAGAAAAGGACGAAACTTACATTTCGGCTGATATCCCATGTTCTTTCACAAGCTCGGATAATCAAGTTGTTTCTTTCCGGGGCTTTACCGATTAACTTTGTCGTGTATGGACCCGGCACCTAGAACTACGATGGTTTGTCGTTCATCCGTCACGGAACAAACACAAAATGCCACGACGATCACTGGGGACGATGCAGAGAAGCCTAATTTTGAACATACGAAACGTTGATAGAGCATTTTGGGAATCATCCAGGAAGTCTAACCCTGGCAATCTATGAACCTATCTACAGACTTTGTAGGAAATGGGGGTGTCTCATCCACTCATCACTCATTAACAGCCCCTAAGGGGGCAACACAATAGTTCCTGCTTCAATACCCTCCTCCAATGCTTGCTCGTGCCATCACACATTTAGTGAAGGGCCTGGGCAAGCTTCTGGCACAGCTGGCGGGTCTCGGGCTCCAACTGCTCCTCAGGCGGGCTGAGGACAGCCTGCAGAACGGGCAGGATCTTGGGGGTGAGGCTGGCGACAGTGGGGTTCTGAGCATCGTACAGGTTGTAGAGGGCCTGGTAGATGGGGGCGTTCTCCTCGTAGTCTTCCTGGAGGGGAAGGGCATCGACGAGGGCGGGCAGGACACGCGCGACGAACTCGGGGTTGGGGTTGCGGATGATCATGCGGGAGATGCAGCCGGAGACATTGTCGACCATGCGAGACTCCTTGATCTGAAGGAGGGGCTCGAGCTTCTCCAGGACGGTGGGGTACTGGGAGATGGTCTTGTCGGTGGCCTGGGAGTTGAAGATGAGCTGGCCCATGGCGTAGGCGGCGTTGGACTTGGCAAGGGAGTCGGGGTCGGTCAGGCGGTGGGTCAGGACGGGCAGGAGAGAGTCGGTGAACTCGGTGACGGCCTGGCCCATGTACTTGACAGCCTCGGCAATGACGCCAACCGCAGTGGAACGCTCGAGAGACTCCTGGGAGCTGGCGAACTTGAGGATGGGCTGTTGGTAAACTCTCCACATCTCGGCGAAGTCACTGCCGAGGACAGTGGCGAGGCCGAGAATGACGTCGAGGGCGGTGTCAATGACGAGCCAGTCGAACTCGGAAGAGCCCTCGGCAGCCTCTTCCTCCTCCTCCTCACCGAGATCCATCTGGCAGGGATGAGAGCGAGTGATGAGGCAACCGAGGATAGTCAAGCTGCTCTTGAGCAGCTCGTTGTGTGTAAGGATGGCGGGACCGCATGACTTGAGGGTGGCGGCGATGTTGCGGTTGATCTCAGTAATGACAGAACTATTGGGACGTCAGCAAAATGCCCGATTACATGCTAGCCATGAAAATGATGAAGATGCCCAATGAATCAGACGTGATCAATCGTGTTCTCAGCAACCGCACTTTGTGCGTCTGAGTGAGCTGGGTATAACGAGAGTTACTCATCCTTTAGGGCAGGGGAACGGGGAAGTAAAGTAGAGATGATGGGGTGCATACCGTTCGCTGTCCTCCTCCCAAACACTGAGAGTGGCCTCAACAACAGACTGGCCGAGGTCGTTGATGACCTGGCCGGGGTTCTGCTTGGGGGGGTAGCCAGCCTCCCACTTGGCGCCGGTCGACTCCTCGTAGAGTTGCCAGACGCGGGCGTAGGCGCGCCAAAGGGTAGAGATAGCAGCCTTGCGAGCTCCCTCGTAGGGGTGCTGAGCCAGGGGAGAAACCTTGCCCATGGCATCGGCAAGGTACTTCTCGATGGCAGCGCCGTCACAGGAGTGGGTGATGACATCGCCAAGAACCTCGAGCGCGATCTCTTGCTCAAGAGCGACGGCGGTGACACCGGCAAAGTCCTCAAGATCCTCCCAGTCGGCATCCTCGTCCATGTCCTCCTCATCGTCATCAGCAGCAGCCTTCAGGTTGAGTTTCTTGCCGTTGGAGATCAGCAGACCCTCGGGGATATCCTCCTCGGTAAGGCCAGGGATAGAGAGAGACTCCTCCTCGAGCTCAAGGCAGTCAAAGAGACCCTTGAAGACACCGGGAAGGAAGTGGGAGAAATCGTTGCCGTAGACCTTGGACAAAGAAGCCCAAAGGATGAAGCTAGTCTCCTTGAGGCGAGCGTTGTCGAGGCTGAGAGCCTCCTCACTGGCCTTCATGAGGTCCATGACGTAGGGCTGGAACTCCTGGGCGCCGACAGCGTCGGCAATGCGGCCCATAGAGTCGCAGACAGCCGAGCGGAGGTTCAGAGCCTCCTCGCCGTCCTTGATGGCAACGTACTGGCCAAGCGCACCCATGACCTCAGCGAAGTAGGGCTTGAACTCCTCGCGACCAAGAGCGGCAGCAATGGCGCCAATGGCGCCGGCAGCACCACCCTTGACGGAGAAATCCTCGTGGTGGAGAAGCTTACCCATGGGGACAATGAGCTTAGGGCCAAACTCCTTGATGAGGTCGTCCTCAAGACCCTCACCAATGAGAGAGTCAAGCGCACCGCAGACAGCACGGATAACTCTGACACTCTGGCTGTCGGTAGAGCCAACGACGGCCTCGAGGTTGGTGAGCAGGGCACCGATGAGCTCGCGGTGCTTGGGGGCGAGCTCATCAGCCATCTCGTCGGCGAGGTGGATGAGACCGACGAGAGCAGCGTGGCGGACGGAGACGTCCTGGTCGTTCAGCAGAGTGAGAACGATGGGCAGGAGAGGCTGAATCTGGGTGGCGACGAAGTCGGGGGCACCCTCGGAAGCGGTGCCGAGAGAGAGCATGGCGGACTTGCGGTGACCAGGGTTGGGGTTCTGGGCGAACTGGGGGAACTGCTCGAGCAGAGGCACAATGACCTGGCGAGGGGGCAGGTCGTTGGCCAGCTGATCGATGAGAGCCAGGGCAGTTCTGGCCGGGGAGTTTTCGTCGTCATCATCGTCAGTCTCGATCTCGGTGACAATCTGCATGCTCTTGACCATGAGAAGGGCACCCATATCTTTCATGCCCTGGATCTTCATGCGGCGGTAGCGAGCGCACTGGCTGAGGAAAGCCAGAGATTGCGAGCGAGCCTCCTCTTCGACCTCGTTGTTGATAGCGAGCTCGAGCATGAAGTGGATGAGGTCCTTCAGGTGGGGACCCAAGAAAGAGGAGTCGAAAGCCAGGAAAGACTGGAAGACCTCGAAGACATCACGGTAGTAGTCGTCGTTGCCCTCGGAGATGGCGTTCTTGAGGATCTCAACCATGGGCTGGACGAGCTGCTGGACGAGCTGAACGCTTTGGGTATCCTCCTCGGGGTCGATGATCATCAGAAGAGCGCCGATAGATCTGACAGAGTTCAGGCGGACATCGGCGCTCGCAGGATCGACGATGGTCTTCTGAACCAGGCCCAGAAGCTGCTGGGCCTGCTCAGTGAAGTGGGTGGGGTCGTTGTCGAGCAGAGCGAAGAGGATGTAGGAGCCGACCTCGCGGTGAGCAACGTTGTCGGCAATATTGAGAGACAACAGGCCGCGGACGAAGTCCTGGCCGTCGCCATCCTCAAGATCGAGACCAATAGCTCCAGCGAGAAGACGCGACTTGGAGTGACGGGAGGGAGCAGACTGATCGCTCAGAATGCTGTCCAGGATGTGCTTCTTGGCGGCCTCGCGCTGAGAGGCGTCAATCTTGGTCCAGTGTCTGGGGGTCAGGCGCAAAGCCTGGACGGAAGCCAGCTGTCGGATGGCGGCGTCATCGTGGGAGACGGTAATCTCGATGAGAAGCAGAAGAGACTCGGGCTTGGAGTAGTAGTTCTTCTGAAGCTCGGCCGTGACGGCCTTGACCTTCTCAGTGTCGGCTGTAGAGAGCAAAGAACAAATCAGCAAGACAGATTTCGCGGAAAATCAAGTGTGATGGACCGGATGAAAAAGCAAAATTTATAGGCGAAAAAAGCACGAGGAAAATAAGCGAGGGCGACGAAATGAGGCAGACGGGCTCGACCAGGTTTGCGGCCGGGGTGGCACAGGGCGATGGGGAATTCGAAGGGGAGTTGAGTAAGGTTACTTACGAATCTGGCTCGCTTGGAGCAGCTGGACCAAGTTTCCTTTATCCATCTTGAGGTTCTGTTGGAGTCTCGTCGTCCTCACAACTATTCGCAAAAGAAGGAAAAGACGAGGAGGAGAAGAAGAAGGAAAAAGGAGAGAAGGAGGTGAGAAGGGGAGAGGAAAGGGAAGTAAAGGCCCGGCGCAACTGAATTTTTATCCAAGCACAGAAGGACCAGGACGGGGTGTGTCGGCCAGTTGTTTTGTTGATGCCCGAACCACCTATGACACGCCGCAACGACGAAAAAATAAAAATAAAAATAATGAGAAAATAATAAAACCACCAGCCAAATGACAGCTTTGGAGGCAACCGCGGACTTTCACCACACAAAATTTTAGGGGACCAGTGTGAAAATTTCGAGGTGAGCCCCGCCACCACTGATAAGATAAGGAGGGGTAGAAGGCGTCGAAGCCTGAAGGAACCTGGAAAGAAAAAAGAAATTGATGCAAGGCGGGGTCAAGTCCAGGTACCCCTCCTCTACTTTTCCTACGCGCCTGCAGAAAATGCGTAACGACAGCATGCTTCTTGGTACGTACCCGTTCTGCCCCTCCATTCACGTGCTCTTGACTCTCGAATCTTCACTTGCATTGTTCACCTCCATCATCCATGTCGGGAGCCATAATACTGCGCTATGTCTTCAGACTGCCTGGCCAATCTGTCTTGGGTAATACAATGAGCTTACTAAACCATATGAGGCAATAAGACAGGCGCGGCTCGTCCACATTACCTTCCACGCTTGGTCATTGCTCACCTTCTTGCTAGTCTTGGTGTGCAACCGCAGTCAGTCAACATTGCAACTGCTTTTGTAATTGGGTGTACATTTTGCTCCCTTGAAGATATTCTTCTGGTTTTTGGAAGCCCAAACATTGTGTGAATGACTCCTGCTGTCTTGCTGTTGTTGAGTCTATGGGCATATGGGAGTAGTCCATCTTCATGCCTTCTACAGCTACCAGCATGGCTTCCGCCATGTGCAGCTTTACTTACCTGATACTAAAGTCGATGAGCAGAGGCCTCCATTTGAGATTGGTGTTGCGAGAAGAATTTTCAACAAGATGCCGCATAAATTGTGGGCTCGGTCTCGTTTCGAGCCATGCCATGCCGAGCTTCTTCACCGACACTTTCAAGTCACCGGACTATTAGCTCCACTTTACCCGACACGGATCCGGCTTTGGTTTCTCCATACTTCGGCCGGTTCCGGATGAACATCGGGCGGGTGCCGCGGCTGGTTCTGTGCAGTGAAGCCGCGCTCTAATTTGATATGACATAACTTCATCTGCCCTCGGTTTGAATTCGTTTTCTTTCCTCATCAGCTGCAAATAATCAATCTGGGTCTACAAAATGCGTTCCAAGACAAAGTTGATGAGGCCGAGCTTCTCATCCCTCTCAATATTCTCAAGTATATTCCCGGCTCATGGCTTATTTATCATCTGAGGTAGTTATTTGTGGGCTAAACATTCCGTATCGCGTCGATCAGATCAATGGATGTGGAATGCATCAAAGTTCCACTTCAAGCAGCAGTTTGAACTATGATAGTTGTTGCTAGCCATGCTCAATAGTCAGGCGATATCCAATGTGAGCTTGAAGAGCCTAGGTAGGAACAGTTCGGTAGCTAAATGGTCAAAGTCAAAACAAGCAAAAACTTCAAGATTCACTGTAAGCCAATCATGAATACCAAGTAAGCTTGTATCACCCAAGCAACGAAATTTTCATGTAACGCAAATAGGCAGAGGCAGGTAGCCCCGTCTCATTATGATTGATTATGCTTCTATGTAAGGAATGTATCGTGATATGCATATGCCAAAGGATTGAATAGCGCCGGTTCCATGCAATGTCGGGTGTCCTCCCAATCGAACACCCTCCAATTATTTGATGCTGATTAATATGCCGTACTTGTCGTTAAGTCGCTTGAGTGTCGTCGCAATTTACAAACCACAGGCGTCAAGGCCGACCTGGGTAGCCTGGGCATCAATGCGGCCAAGCTGAGCAGCCTGGCCGTTGGTGAGATCGTTCATGGCGCCAAGAGCCAAGTTGAACCCGGAGCCAGCGTGGTCGATGGCGAGAACGTTGATGCTCTTGCCGTTGTAGGTGAGCTGCCAGCAGGTACCGCACTATCGTGTGTGTTAACAAGTGTTGGCGAAGGTATGAGGAAAGAAGAGTGAAACTTACGTTGGGGGAGTTCCAGCCGGCGATGGCGTCAGCGCCACCGATGTAGGGGAACTTTGCGACCTGGCCCTGGTTCTGCCATCCGTACTTTGTGATGAGGCCGTTGGCACCGTCGGAGCAGGAGACGGCGGTCAGGGAGCGGGAACCGTCGTCGTAGCCGGTGTCGTAGGAGACGGAGACGGCGGCCGCGGCGGCGATGGAGGAGAGGATGGTGACGAGGTTGGAGAACTGCATCTTGAATGTGGTGTTTGGGGTGGTGAAGGTGTGGTTGAGGTGGTGTTGTAGATGGAGCTAGGGAAGCTTGTTTGTAGAGTTGTATGATTGTAGTAGTTGGAGATGCTGGTGTAGAAGCTGATGAGGTTGAGAGAGAAGTTAATCGAAGGAGGCGAGTCTTCGGTCTCTTCTTATACAGCCTCGATCTCAGCTCATCCCTAACAATGATCAGCCTCTTCACTACTTTAGGCTCCATCACCAGACCCGAACCGAAGCGGATCATGGTCTCCAACGACAAAGACAGCAAGAAGGCGGGAAAAAGTCATCCATGACGTTGCGGTCTCTCCGGCAATAGCGTCATGTCGTGACATGGCCGGCAACAGGACCCTTGGCCGGCTTGGCGAGGACTCCATACTACATGTCACATCGTATGGGATGACTGCCGGAGAGGGGACAAGCCTTCCCCAGGGTTCCTTCAATTCGTATTGAGCGGCGCAGTTTACGGGAAGCAAGGGAAAAGAGAGAGTTGATCCGTAGTCTGTAGAAAAAGCACCACCTGCACTGCCGATCACAGATCTGGTTTATTGACGTGGGGAAAGGGCCACTAGAAGGAGGCGAGGATTATTCTCGTATTCACTAGCCCCGATTTCCCAGCGCCGTTAGGGGGCTCACGCTCATGGCATGGGGCGGGAACAAACACGCGATGCCTCGAATTGGCTGCTGCTGCGACGGACCGGCGACGGTGTGTAGTTGACCGTCGCATGCGACAGGGCTGTCATCCTGGGCTGTTTTTAGCAATTAAACACCGCTAAGGTTATTTGGGTTTAGCATTCCCTGGTTCCGCATCTTTGCCCCGGTTTGCCAGCCTCTCTTTCCTTCCAGCCGCTTGAGAAGGGAGAAGTAAACTGATTCCGAATGAGACTATCACAACTCACCGTATGCTCTTTGGAACAAAGTATTTTGCTTTGTTTTTTTTACATCCTTCTGAACTTATTTAGGCCGTCGCAGAGGAGCCTCCTCGATTCAATATGCATGACATCGCTCATTTGTGCGTCGGGCGACTTTCCCGCCAACAGGTGTTGATCTCTTGTTTTTCCCCACACAATGCCGGCGGGACGTAACGTCAGGTGGCTCTTTTTTCTTTCGTGTTGCTTCTGGTCGCCAGAAACGGTTTCTTCGCCAACGCATGCGTCCGCTGCCCGCTGCAACCTTACTGTTTCCTCGTCGTACAGGAAGAGGAAAAAAGACTTGACATGAAAAACCCCGAATCCGAGTGGTCGGGGCTTGCATCCTCGGAGGATTGGGGCTGGCGTTCTGCGATGCAAACGTCGAGGGTCATGGGCTTACGGCTGTGGCGGGCGCCATCCCACGTTCAGATGAGCCCCAAAAGTCAGACCTACGTACCGCAACCACGGGCACAGCATGAAGAGGAGAGACCTCGACGCCAGTGAGCGCCGGCGCTGAGTCTAACAAATCGTAGCTCGCTCATGATGGCGAAGCAGTAGGGCAGTGGGCAACTTGGTAGCCCTTAGCCCTCATTCGCCTTCCGTCTATTGGCATAAGGAGCGCTTCGTGCTGACCATCCGCGGCGTCGAGCAACGTTACAAGCGCGCAAGCGCGGATCAGCACGTGCAGTCTCACTCGTCTGCGACAAATGGGCCGATCGCTGTGTTGGTCGCTGCGTCGCCGTCCACGGGGTGTCCGATGTATCCGAGCTTCGCCGTCCTTTTCTTGAGATGCTCCTCTAAGTGATCGTCCTTGAGCTGAGAATAGATGTTGGTCATGGCCACAACGCTTGTGGCATCTGCATAGCGAATGAATCTCCATCCGTAGCTCCGCAACTCCAGAATGAAGCTTTCCGATGCGATTGGCAAGCATTTGCGATGGACGGTGGAGTATGCGGTTGGCTCGGCAGAACACGAGCTCTTGTCCTGATCCCCGCTTGCTTTTGGAGTTCCTGATAGATCTTCGACGAGGGAGGCGGTGAATGGTCGTCACTGTGAGACCCCTCCTGGCAGCGAGTCCTTCGGAATTACATTCCATGCTTAAGGCGGGTCTTCGTGAAGAGGGCCACGATCATTTCGAGTATTGGGAGAAAGATGCCCAGTCAGGCTACTGACTCGGCTGTCTGCAGTCTCGGGGACTACCCGAAGGCGAGTTGCTCGCAGGAAGACGGCGATGCGAGATGGAGTTTGGAGATGGGCTGATGTAAGGCCGGGAAGAGAATAGATTAATACGGATGACATCCCAACTTGTCAAGGGGAATGCTATCCAAATCGCTGCGATAGATCACGAGGAGCTCCTCAAGAGATCGACACTTCTGTGGTCCGCCTGAAGTATTGCTATCATCAGACGAGCATCTTGACCGAGTGTGGAACTCTTGGCAGTTTGTTGACGAGGCTGGTTGTGTTGGTAAGTCGACAAGTCAAAAGGCAACAGATGCCACCAGCTTCTGAAATCAGTCGAAAGCTGAGAGCAGTGAGCAGTATGTCACACAGCCTGACCCCGGGATGAGGCATGAGATGTAGTTGCAAGATGCAGCTGTCATTGGCAAGAGGCTCCGAGCAGAGAAAGTCAAAGGAAATTGGATGAGAAGGAAGAGGCTACGCGATAAGATAAGATAGAGCTGCAGGTGTGGTTACCTCATTTCAGTGAGGTGAGGTGCGCTGAGTGGAGGATGTTCAGCCTTGGAGCAGGGCGATAAGACACTGACACTGCGCTGAGAGCTGACCGTGCATTGAGTAGCATCCAGTACTCTCATTGGCCAATGGCCGCCCGGAGGGACACCCCGCACTCGAAGGGGACGTACCTGTGTACACTGTAGGGCTTCACCCCACCAGGAAGCAGCGCCGGGCCGCTGAGACGCTCCGGTCATCGGGCGACGTCCAATTTTTTTGAGTCACGAACGACACCAGTTTAAGCAATACTGAGCTAGACTCACTCTCATTTTCACTTTTCTGCGTGAGATTTCATACTCGTCTCACGTAAAAGCCACCAGAAGGTATCACAGATCCATTCCATAACCTCCATTAAGACAACCGTCGATCGACGTGAAGCTTTCACCCCGCCTCACCGAATTGATCTGAACCCCTCACCTCATCCTATCTCCTCAGCCCACACACACTCACACACTCACCCCCTTCCCTCATCCAACCAACTTACACCGCCCGCCAGCCTCGCCTACCATGACCAAAGAAACATTCGTGATCAAGACGCCCTCGTCCTCGGCCAACATCGGCCCCGGCTTCGACGTCATCGGCCTCGCCCTCTCCGTCTACCTCGAGCTGCACGTCACCGTCGACCGCTCAAAGACCTCCTCCTCGGAGCCCCTCAACTGCCGCCTCACCTACGAGGGCCAGGGTGAGGGCTCCTCTGATATCAGCCTCGACCCGTCCGTCAACCTCATCACCCGCGTCGCCCTCTACGTCCTGCGGTGCCACGGCCAGCGCATGTTCCCTGTCGAGACCCATGTCCACATCAAGAACCCCATCCCGCTCGGCCGCGGCCTCGGTAGCTCCGGCTCCGCTGTCGTTGCCGGCGTCATGCTCGGAAAGGAGGTCGGACACCTGGATCACCTCAGCTTGGACAGACTATTCGACTTCTGTTTGATGATTGGTGAGTAACCCCTTTCTTCAGTATTAATACCCTCGACATCCCCAGTGCAGTGTTACTCACAAAAAAACCAGAGAGACACCCCGACAACGTCGGCGCCTCGCTATACGGCGGCTTCGTCGGCACCTATCTCCGCCCCCTGAAGCCCGAAGACGTTCAGCGCATCGAGATCCCCCTCAGCGAAGTCCTACCCGCCCCGGCAGGCGGCGTCGACACGGGCGAGACCCCGCCGGAGCCGCCCCACGGCATCGGCCACCACATCAAGTTCCCCTGGGCCAAGGAGATCAAGGCCATCGCCATCATCCCCGACTTCCAGGTCCCCACCCACCTCGCCCGTGAGGTGCTGCCGCCTCACTACACCCGTCCCGATGTTGTAAGTGCCTCTTGACCCCCAAAAGGGGCATCGTTGCGTTTTTCCTACCTCGACTAACCCAAAACGCAGACCTTCAACATGCAGAGAATAGCTCTTCTCCCTGTAGCCCTGGGCACTTCCCCCCCAGACCCGGAACTCATCCACCTGGCAATGCAAGACAAGATCCACCAGCCCTACCGCCAGACCCTTATCCCGGGCCTGAGCCAGATCGTCGAGGGCATGTCCCCCAGCACGCAGCCGGGCTTCCTCGGCGTCTGCCTCTCCGGCGCGGGTCCCACCATCCTCGCGCTCGCCACGAGCAACTTTGAGGAGATTGCCAACAAGATCATCAAGATTCTCAGGGAGAACAACGCCGATAAGAACGTCGGCTGCGAGTGGAAGATTCTGGAGCCCGCTGAGGGAACGCAGGTTATCCGGTGAGAGGCGAGAATGAGCTGGCGAAAGGAAAAAGGGTTGAAAACTTAGAACACGGATTTGGGCGAGTGGCCACGTTATCAAGCATTTAGAGGTCGGGAAATTTAGAATCTCGTTATGATACCCAGACGACCACCGGGAAGTCCGACCCGTTCTATGGCCATCCTGAGGCTTCTTGATCTACTTGCTTTGCAGTACTCCATCGGTCGACCATGTCGCGACCTTGTCCAGATATGTCCTCAACCTGTCCTCAAACGCCTCCCCATTCCAGCACTCTCTGCCGTCGATGACCTCTCTCCGAGGCGGACCAATCTGCTCGATAACGAAGCCGGCCGCCACAGACCCATACGCGGACGCAAGCACCGCGTCATCCGTTCTCGCGAAAGCAACTGCAAATGCTCCGAGGAACGCATTCCCGGCGCCTGTGGGGTCTTGGACTTTCGAAGAGCCATGGTCGTAGAAAGGGGGCAGCCATATCGGGTTGCCGCCCCGGGGAATCGTGAGACAGCCCTGTTCGCCGCACCTGATGACCGTGACCCGCGGTCTGTTCCGCACTTCCTCGAGCAATGCAGAATGCCCCGATGCCTTGATATCACTTGAGAGGTTGATGGCATGGTATTCGATAAGTGCCCTATTGTAGGGTATCCCAGGGCCCTCGTGCATGCCCTTCATACGTAGGAGTTCGTGGTCGTTTGGAGAACAGATATCTGAAAGGTGGAGGGCTCTCATGTGCTCGGCCTCGCGGTCGTGAATGTTGATAGGTGAGGGTTCCCATGCGATTAGGGAACTTGGGTTCTCCATTTCACCGCGGAGGTTTGTGAGGGTTTCCATATGACGTTCGAGATCTTCTGGTGTCGCTAGGGTGTGAACCACCGAGGATCGAAGAAGCGGTTCAGGAAGCCGGGCTAGATTCGGGTGTAATGGTGGCACAGTATATCGAAACGTCTTTTCTGCGAGTCGATGTTAGTCCGCGTACGTGATTCATGCAGGAAAGATATCAGCAACTCACTTCCAAAGGCATCATTCTCATATTCCAAAAGACCTCTCGTTGACAGCCTATCCGGCGTCTCGTCATAATGAACGGTGACACCCCATCCCGCAATCTGCTGTCTCACAGCAGTCGGGAAGTCAGATCCAGCCGTAATGACACAACACACATTCGCAGACTCATTTTGCGGAATGGCAAGGCGTGCGCCGAGAGTACCTAACCAATATTAGAAGCCGAGCTTCACCCTCTGAAATGTTCCCAAGAAAGCGACACCGAGGAAGAAGAAGCCAACAATAGGTGAGGCTCAAAGTCCGGCTGCCACAGGTTCCACTCACCATAAAACCCAGAACCGCCGGGAACGTCGCGAAGAACTCTCCCGTCCGGAAAGCGGAGCTCATCAATCACAACCATGCCGAGCGAAATAAAAGCCGGAGCCGGCGACCCCATCCCCGGCTCCGGACCGCCCGGCGATTCGGACATCATGATTGGCTATTCACGTTTGGCAGGTCCCGGGGTGCTTAGACTCATTACGCCCCGGAATGAGATGGCAGAAGTTTGAGGTCTTGTTGAGAGAGACACACCACACCCGGCCCCCGTTTGAGACCTTTTCGCCCGCAGCCAAACACGTGGGCGGGGTGAGGCGAAATGATTGGATCCTCGTACTTCCGAGCTGCGCTCCCTGCGAAGGGCTGGAGAATATGGATAGGTACGCAAGGTATGGGGGGAGGCCCATGCCAAAAAGGTTGTTACGACGATGTCCATCCATCTCCCGGGCCCGGCCCGTCTCTTTGCTCATCCGCGGATCTCGAATAGATGATATCTGCCACACCAGCTTGTTGCTCTATGTTTCAAACGCCATTATCACAGCTCGTGGACCAATAACGCCACAGCGGCTTTAACGACGTATCGTTGGCCGCGGCCACTGTGTGTCCAGAGACAATCTCTTATCTTAGACAAGCTCCCGCGTCCGGTATCCTCGCCGCGACCGCCCCGAAACGTAGAATCCTCCCTGGCGATCCGCGTGTTTGAGATCATGAAATGTGACTGGGTACTGAGGCGAAGACTGCACCTCGGATTCGTGGATTAGGGGCAGCATGGGAATGAGCGGTGAATGTGAAATCGTCCGCATCTCATTCGCCTCACTGAGTGTTCCAATGTAAGAGGCTCAGAGAGGTAGGCATAGGTAGGGTACTCCCGAGTGCCTGGATGCCAATCACGCGTTCCTGATCACCAATCTCGAATAAGCCAGGCCCGGCGGCATGTTTCTTTTTGAATGATCCTTATTTGTGCGTGTTGGTATCTAAATCGTCGGCGCGCATACATACCTACCCTTTCAGACAGCATTGCATTTGCATTTGCATGGAACATATGCGTACTTACACATGAAGTAGGCATTCGAGAAGGCAAAACAGTAGAACGAGGCCATCGATATCGCGCCACATGTAGGCGCCAATCGTAATTACTACATGAGAGATTCGCGGCGTGGCCGGACGCAGATGAGGCGTGTATCAGTCAAGCCACCCCGTCTGGAGCTCCTTCGCAAGAATGAGCTCCCCATGGGATTCCCGATAATGGATTTCCACAGTGTAGTTCTTCTTTCAAGGTACAATCTTGTCAAAGAAGCCAATCCGAAGCATCCTGTCAGTCTCCCCAGCACAACTAACCTGGTCCAAGAATCAAACTTCATACACGGGAGCGGCAGACGTCGTCGCACGGCCGTCGCCCCGTCCGAGACGCCATGGGCTACTAAAAATACCGGCGCTGGGGAATAACAAGAGTCGAACCAGAATTTCCAGACACACGCCAGAAGGAACAGACTCCAGGGCCTTCCCTTTCGAGGAACCGGGCCAGTGGTTCCCCTCAGAACTTTTTCCCTCGCACAGACTCGGCCCTGATTCGTGTGTCTTTTTTGGTGGTTCCAGCTATTAGAGAATTGTCCGAACGACCCCCACGGCGACGGGTTGGTCTGATGTTCGGCGATAGATACCTCGCTCTCCGACCTCTTCTTCTCGGTTTAATCCGTCCGCTTGCATGGGCGCGAGTATCAGAAAGTTCGGGATTCTAGGCCTGCTTCTTCGGCGCTTCTCCTTGCCGTCGTCATCAAGGATCCGTTTTTGAAGGCTTCTTCATGAATCAGGTTCTTGTCGTCTCGATGGAGTCTTGTTCATGACTTCATGGTCCATGGGGGGTGAATATCGCCGAGTTGCTCGGAGGTCTAGTTCGGACAGCGAACAACAGATTGAGACGCCGTCTGAAGTGTAGCTTGCCACACCTTGCATAAGCTTCAAGGACTGGCAGTGAACTATACGCGGATGAGAGGGGAACAATTTTGAAGGTGCCGTTCGCACCGAGTAGGGGTGCACAAGACCGATTCAAGATGCGCTGTTTGCTTACCCGCCCAACCTGGCCATTCGAACCGTCAAACATCCTCAAGTCGGAGAACGATTGCCGTACAACTGTCGTGGGTCGCCGTCTGTGACGGTGGACATTTCGAGAAGGACATGGGATTCTGGCAAGGTTTCCCAACGATCTGGCCATGCGCCGATCGTCCTTCTTCTGTGGCCAATCATACCGACGCCAATTCAGTGAGTAATTCGACCTGCGGCAGCGGCACAAACACCCCCGGGACGGTGGATCTGAACCCCAAGCGGTGAGCCCAAGAAGCTATGGAGCTCCCCTGAGCTTCCACGTCCCGGCTTGCCTACCAACCACCAGCGTATCGTGCCAGTGTGTAGCTTCGCTCTGTGTATCTGTCCGCCATCTCGTTTATACCTTGATGCACTGTCCCAGGTGCAATTTCCACCATGTTGGCAGGCAAATAGATTGGCCTTGGCTCAGTGCGATCTTCGGAGGGTTAATTCAAGAGCCCAGAGTTAAGCCTCAACGGTTCGCACTGTCCGCCATCTGGCCCTGAGCGACTGGCCAGTGATGTCGAGCGAGAGAACCCCATCCAGGCCAGACATGCCCAGCCGACAAGGGCGATCATGGGGTTGCAGGTCCCCCGGCGGCAGGGGGGGAATACGCTAACCAGCCCCAGCATGTCTTGGTTGGCAGGCGTGGCAGGGCAGGGCGGTACCTATGTTACGACGATTCTTTGGGACAATCCCAGGGGCGACCACGGCGAAAGGAGAACTTGCGATCCAAAGAGGCCAGAGGCCAGAGTCCAGAGTCCAGGACGGAAGCTCGACGAGAGTGTCTAAGAACGGACGACGAAAACAGGAACGGGAAGCGCTACGATGGCCAAGCCAGCCGTTGCTGAAGAGAGAGAATAATAGCGAGGATGGATGGAGACGACGGAAAAAGGACGCCAATGCGCGTCTCGGTCAACAAATCTTCAAGTGGCAGACCAGCCGTGCCTTAGCCCTGAGCGAGTCTGACGGTTCGTCCAGCGGGCCCTGACACGCCAGAGTAAGGTGTAGTAACAGCGAGCGTCAGTGGTGCGTCAGTGGTGCGTCTGTGGTCCAGAGTGCGCGGGTGTGAGAGCGAAGGAAGTGTGAGCTGGCTGCTGAGTGTTGTACTCCGTTCAGATGGCTGTGTTGGTGACGGTTGCTTGGGCTGTTGACCGAGAGGTTTGTCGAAGAAAGAAGTATCCTCGTACCTTTACTAAGGCACCTTAAGTAAGCACTGGTACGTAGTGTGGTGTGAGTGGGGGCAGAGGGACGGGAAGCCGGCGTGCATGTACCGGGGGACCCGCAGCTGGCCCAAGCTCCTCAACGTCTCGAAGCTTTTGGTTTCCCTTCCAAGTTCCCTGTCCTTCTTTTCGCCTGTCCCCCGTTTCTGTCTTCTGTTCCTGCTCGCCTCGAGTTCCCTCCCCCCAAGCACCAAGCAGGGACCTGGAAACTGTCAAGGCGAAAGTCAACCCGCGCTGTCAGTGCCAGTCAATATTGTCGTAGCCAAGCTCCTTTTGATTCATAAGTGGAAATTGTAGTCGACAAGGAGTCAATAACGCTTCACGCTTCCCCGGTGCACAGCCTGGGAGCCAGCCATGCCAACTCAGCTCAACAAGCATTTTGATGGATACCTGACGTTTCGATGGGTACGGAGGGCGCCGCGCGATCTGCAATTCCGCATAGTCATATTCTCAAGTTAATGCCGTCCCTGAAAATCATCACAAACGTCGACACCGAGCCGTGGAGCCAGCCACGTAACAGTGCCTAAACTCCGGTGACATTGGCCAGCGATACTGGCTGTGTATTCACTGGCGCGCCCAGGCGACTCTATCATGCGACGGAGCTGTGGAATCCCAGTTTGGTATCTGGGGTTTTCTGTTTACTCCTGCTCTGCTACTGTGACAATCTGTCCAGGGACCAGCCAGGCTTGAAAGGGTTGTGGATGTCTCTATTTCTGTTGAGGAGGGCGTGTCTAACAACACCCAGCCTGTTCCTTATCGGTATCACCGGGAACCCCCCAAGAGCCCATGGGGACGTTGGAACGTGTCTGTCTGACATCAACCTATCGCCGTTGCCTCTGAGTCTGCTTCGTCTCCTTGACCAGCGTCGTCCCCTGCATCTTCAGTGTCAATCTCTTAGAGGGAACCGCTCGTCATCCCCCCCTCCATCAACTTCCTCGCCTTCACACCACCACAAGTCGCTCGTCTCTTCGATCATCGAACTTGGCATCACGATGGGAACTATGACAATCTGACACCCGAAAGCCAGTTCGCAGTTGGCACTAGTTTAGACTCGCACAACCAAGCAAATCACTGCACGGTGACACCAACCGCGAATTTGATAGGTTTCTGGGTTGGGGTTGGCGGAATAGGCTCGGCCGTTCTCGCTCAATCTTCCACCCTCCTCCCTATGGACAGAAGCGCTATGGCAACCCACGCTCGCCTACTGCTCCTACCTTACTGCTTACCTCCCGTCCGGTGCCCGCCTTGGCAGGGTCACGAAGCTGCTTCATCGCAGTACCCGACCACCTCGAAGAAACCAAGTGAACCACCGAACCCAGTCCAGGCTCCACGGGTAGAGTCTTCTTTGCCTGGACGTGCTCATCGCATACACGTGCCCTATCCTTGCTCTCTCTCGTCCTTGCGCATCGATGGATATGTCTCTCTTGTCTCCAGCGCCTCGTTTCCTGCCAAGTTTAGATAGAGTACTGGGCCCACTGTCACAGTGAATCTGCAAACAGCAGCCGTTCCATTCTCCATAGAACGGAACTAGATTGGCACGATTGGCACGGTTAGAATCTGTGTCCGACTCCGCGGGGGGTCACTGAAAGGTAAGTATCAGTCCTCACACCACCACCACAATGCAGAACCCTGGGTTCAGCGCCAGTAGATCCCAGATCCAGGAGCGGTGACGGTAACAGCAACAGCATTTTACAAAATCCCTGAGAGCTTTGAGGGGAGTTGGGGTAGGTTGGCTGGAAATACATGCCATACCCGCGCCATTCCCCTCCCGTCGTCAGCTCACGCGGCGCCCCGCGCAGATCGGGGCGGTCTGGTGCCCAGACTGCTGAGTGCTCCCCGACTCCTGCTTGGATTTCTGTTGTATAATAGTTGGAAAATAGTGTGGCCACTACGGATGCTCATCCGCAATACCCACCAAGCTACGTACAGCCAGTCTGACGATGGACTTGCCCATGTAACTTCATAGTCTACGTGATCTTGCCTCGCGACTCGTAACTCACTGTAGAGTTCGTCGGCTCCTCTGGAAACTAGAAGGACGAGACCAACTGCATCCGCGGGGAACAGACTAAACAAGGCTCGCCTTATGTGCATGCGTGGTGGCACAATAGCGTTCCCACCCATGGGGCAGAATGCCGACACATACATTGAGGTGCGTCTCTCTCTCCCCCACTCAACCAACCAAAATAACCATGACTTGTTCTCCCTGAGGCCCCTGCTGATCTGATTGGATCCCTCCTCAACAATTACCAGGGGGGCCATCTCACTCACTCAACTTACTCTCACTCTCACGGCAGTATACTCTTAGCACAACATTGGCAGCTTACAGGCTCAACCAAGCTCTACAGATCGATAGCGCTATACTCATTGGCCATACTAATGGAAAGTCAAGCCCAGAAAGTATGCGGAAACGGATACCAAGTGCCTGCTGGCAAGGGTATCTCACCCACTCCCGGCACCCGGCTCTCACCCTCCGCCAAAGGCCAAAGGCCATGCCATGCCATGCAGGCTGTCCTCCGCCGTTCACCGGACCTCCGGGTACATCCACCTCATTCGTACCTCTTACACGGACAACGGGCGCGACCTGTACTTTGACCCTGATTCCACGTTTCTTAGCAACGCAAGTACCTTTCTTTTCTCATTCCCTCGTAAGGTAGGTTCAGATAGGATGCAACTCTTACCGTTTACCTTAGTCTGCCACCATACCACACTCTCACTCACCACTTCCACCAGCACAACCGCAACCGCCGTTCTCATCCCATCCCATCCCCGAACCCAGACCAGACCTGGGACCGCCCTCCCCCTCCCCTTCTATCTCTGTCTCTGTCTCGATCTCATCCCACCGCTCACTCCGTCGCATCTCATCCCATCCATGCCCCTACCCTCTCTCCAATCCAAACCTGTTCAAACGTATTCGCTGGCCCACCCTGGCCAAGTCCCCGTTCCAGTTCCCAGTGTTCCAGTTCCAGTTCCGGGGGTCGTCAGACAAGAGAGGGTGTGTATCTACGCCCTGTGTGCATGGAGGTGTACGTGTGTGTGTGTGAATGCTCGTGTGGTAAGATAGTGCGCGTATGTGTGTGTGTGAGTGAAGCTCTGTCTCGTTGTCTCTGATCTCTAATCTCTCTCCCGCCCTTCCCTCCTTCCGTCCGTTTGTATATCTGCCGTGCAACTCCCCCTCCATCTTCTCTTGATTCCCATCCATCCAACCATTCATCAACTCTACTACATCTGCCGTCCGTCCGTACACACGCATCTACTCTGCCACTCGCACTCAGCAAGCCCGAAGCAACCTCTCACTCTCACCTCACATCTGAGTCTCAAGACATCGTCACCAACCTCTTCCAACAAGCTATCAGAACTACGAGCCTGGTCGGCACTTGAACCCCAAAAACATCAACCAACACATCGGAATCTCTTCAAACCCCCCAACCCCCCAAAACCGCCAACATGTCGCGCATCACCGCCCCCGTCGCAAAGCTCACCCGCTCCATCAACTCCGCCGCCACGGCCAGCCGCTCCAGCGGCCTCCTCGAGTCTCACTACAACGTCAACCACGGCGCCGTCCTCATGCCGAAATACGCAGAGCTGCTCCAGAACCGGAGCACCCGCGAGCACGATGTATGTCACACTCTCTCCCCCCTCCCTTCCCCTCACTCCCCGCAGTCTCTCACCAAGAAGCTCTACTATTGAAATAAGAAACTCCAACTAACACAACACCACAGTCCGCCCGCACCCTGAGCACAACCCACCGCCCAACCCCCCAGCCAACCCGGACCTCCCCCTCCGTCCGCCAAATGCAAACCTTCTCCTCCGGCGCATCATCCTCTACCAACGCCGGCGGAATGGACTTCACGATCCTCCCCATCTCCTACGACCCCGTCCCCAGAAACGAATTCGCGGGCATGCGCATGCCCCTCCTCCCAGACTCCTTCACCACAAAACACCAATCCCTCTACGAGCAGACCCCCGCCTCCGCCGCGGACGCCCTCCCGCTCTCCAAGCCCGAGATCTCAATCATCGCCGCGCACCCGGAAAACGTCACCACCGCCGCCGCGTTGACGGAGGTCGAGGGCTTCGGCGTGGACGGCGTGGAGCTGAAGTGGGCTCACGACAGCGAGGCCGCTGCCGAGACGGAGGCGCACCAGCCCGGTTTGAGAGATTTGTGGAAGGGACTTGTTGATAACGTTGTTGGGTCGTCGCAGAAGCCTGCTTTCTAAGAGAAGAAAATTAGAAATGCTGTGTGCTCCGACGGAAGGGTTGGGATGATTGTTATGATGTGAGACTAAACAGCAAAGCGGATGATGTTACTTCAACGTCATGTTAGTATGTAGACTTGCTTGGATAGCAGTCGAGACAATTCTTTTTTTCATTTATCGTTGGTTTACAGGGTTTTAATTGCGATTCAGTTGGTAGGAACACCAACTTGACATTCACAATCGGGTACGAGTAGCATTTCAAAAATTCAATGGCTTCCATTTGGATCTTGCTTGAGCGGATCCAGCCCAAACTTCAAGCCTCATCAACTACATGCCAAGGCACGGTGACAATTGATTCCTAAAAACTTTTGATTGCCAATTTGGTATCGTCCGGTACCGTACACTCCTTTTCGCGGATATGTTTCGCGATCCTTAACATTTGCTTGCACCTCGGTGACTGAAAACCCCGAATTCATCGACCCTCCTCGTACATTACACAGGTGTCCATCCTGGCGCAATAACATCTACTTGTCGTCTGCCCCCTACGTCCTGTGCTCAATTGCCTGACGCACACCGTCCACCGACTCACCCAGGTATGAATCTAACTCGTCCAACCACTAGACACCTTTCTACATTTATCGCTTCTTCATGGTCGGGCGAGGCTTGCACTCATCCGCCTGAACCGGGTGCAACATGACCTTGGTGGGGTACGCCTGCGTGTTGTGCTGGAAGCCCTTAGACCAGTCATAACTGATACCGTATGCGAAGATGGATCCGGTCTTGTTGAAGGTAGTGGCCGTGATGCTGCCGCCGACCTGGGGGTAGCCCTTGAGACGGTGCTTGGCATCCTTGTCCCAGAAGTGGAAGGTGCCGTCAGAGCCGGCCGTGCTGAAGGTGCCGTGAACGGGGTGGAAGGAGATGTCATTGACAGCGTAGACGTTGGTGACGTTGTTGGCGGGAGGGTCTCGGTGGCACTTGAAGGAGAAGTTGGATCTGTTTGTGCAGTGTTAGCCGCCTGCCGCAATTCGTTCGCGTATTCACAGCAATCAAAACTTACGTAGCATCCTTGTCCTCGACATACTGAATCGCGCAACGTCCCTCGATACTACCAATGGCAAAGCCAGCAGCGTCCGCGAAACAGCTGACGACCCTCGTCTGCCACTTGAGAGGACTCTGCAGGGTCTTGTAAAATTTTGTCGGGTTCTTGAGGTCCACCACGTTGATGTACCGGTCGGCGGTTCCTATGACGAGGAGATCGTTTCGCACGTCGATCGTGTATACGCGTTCCTGGCAGGCCAGCGACGCCGCGGGTGTGGGCGAGCGCATGTCCCAGTACTTGACCGTCTTGTCCCAGGAGCCCGACACGGCCATCGGAGTACCGGACGACTCGAAGAAGCGGACCGACTTGACGGGCTGGTCGTGCTCGCCAATCTTGATTGTCTGCTGGGAGCCCAGGTCGCAGAGCTTGACGGCCTTGTCGGCGCCGCCAGAGAGAACTTTTGTGCCGTCCTTGTTGGAAGAAAGTTAGCCAGAGACTCGTTACGTATGGACGTAAGAAACGAAGATATCATACCTTGGACCAGTCGCAGCCCAAGACTGGGCCATCGTGTTCGTAGGCGTGCCGCCCTTCGCTCTGCCCGTTGGGGGCAATCTCGTATATCCTGACTTTCTTGTCCCAACTGGAGACTGCCAGGAAGTCGCTGGTCTGGTTTTGAGCGGGAGAGAAGGCGAGATCGGAAATGCTGTCTTCGGGTGGGTTGTTGAGAGCGACGTCCTGCTTGAGATCGCCGACCGTGTTGCTCGACGAGGCCGCCGATGCGGCGCCAAAGAGGCCAGACATGTTGTCGGTGTGTTGTCGATCGAGCTACGTAGTTGTGGTGTTTCTGCGCGGGCGGTAAGAATGGTGTCAGGAAATTTCGAAATACGCGTTGTCCTGTCGATCAGTGTGTCTGCTGAAGAGGATTGTTGGCAGTAGAGGCGGGCGGCTGGAAGCTTCAAATAGCTGTTGGGAATCGTCTCCAAGTGAAGCTTCCCGTCCAAATTCCACAGACCAGGCACGAAGGCAGTCGCGATGCGAAAAGTGATGGCCACCTTCCATTGGCTGAAAAAGCCACAAGGCTGGGTGCCTGACGTCCCTGCGCTTGAGCCACATCTCCGTTCAAAGGCAGGCAGAGAGAGAGAGGTCCCCACAGGACAGCAGCCACAAAACGAGCCCCACCTTACAGCTCCGAAACTTTTTTTTTCTTTATAAAAAAGACTGCAAGCTTCGCGTCTACTCTCTCTCCTTCTTCTTCTTCTCTTCAACCCCCCTCGTCCGACAAATCGCCATCGAAGCTCACAAACGGAGATTTCCTTCACGGGAGTCTCAACTGCGAAAGCTTTGGGAGAAAGTCCCCGGACACACGTTACTTTCCTGTCACAGGGGAAGCCAAAACGCCGCGGAAACGCGCCGCCATAGAAGCACAGCGGCTGACCTCCAAGACCTGCGTCCGGACGCAATGAGCTCTTTCACAACCCTGCCCCGTCGCTACATCGTTGGTCTTCTCTGCTCTTTCGAGACCCTGCTTTCGCTTCCCGGGACCCTTTGGATGAAGATATGAGTCCGCGCCTGGGGAGTTGCGAGTTGGGGATCATGGGTTAGAGGAGCTTTCGATGACGGGGTGGCCGTTGGTAGGGTCTTGCTTGCCGGGCGAATTCAAGGGTTCGTCGGAGGGTCTTTCGTCGAGATCGATAGGTATGCGATTGCCCGCCCACGACCTCTGTACTGAGGTTGGGGCGTGTTACTCGATGGGGCTTATTCTTGGTGCGAGGGGGGTTCAATCCAAACCTTTTGGGTTTTGTTTTCATGAGGGTTTCGTCTTCAATCTTTCTTTGTTGGTCTGCAAAGGGGCTAGACACCTACACTCTGGACTTCGTGGGAAGTCTCACCCGTCTATGATGCCCTGGATTCAACGGGAGATGTTGGGACACAGTTCAAGTTCGATGATGATTACCTATAGAGTCAAGCACTGACGGTGAGAGGCCTTAGGGTCCGCCAATGTGAGCGACAAAACATGCGTTATGGTATCTGATGAACACTTGGAACATTTTTTTCTTTCTTTCTCTTAAGTATCATTCAATTATCAAAGGACTGAAAAGTCCGAGAGATGTTGGCTCTCCCTGTGGCTCATGTCATAGAGGTATACATATATATATAAAGAAGAATAGAAACAAACATGAACATGGTATATCTGAAAAAGCCTCGTCAGAACGTGCCCTGCGCCGAAAATCTCTTCCACATTTCAAACATGAACCATCCATTCGTAAAAGGGGTGCGCCAAAAGAAGGAGAAACTCCGTAGACAAAAACAATGCAAATCATTCCAGACATGGGTCCCATATATCCCGTACGGTATTCTCCATCACATAAGCCCACCAAGCACAACCTTGCCGATGTTGGCCACCTCCGTCTTGATGTGCGACCTGCTGCTGTCCTCAAACTCCTTGACGACGCCCTGCACGATGATCTTGCGCACTTTGGCATCCGCTTTTGCAAACAGCTCCGCCACGGGCGCCGTCGTCTCCCGCGGCGTGGGCACCAGGCTCAGCACCTTCGTGTAGACGTCAATCAGCACCTCGCACAGCGTCGCAAACGTCTCGTAGAAGTCCGGCTCGAACGGTAGCGACGGCGTGAGCAGGTGCGTGTACACCTCCCCCGGCAACAGATCGTTATCGCTCGACGCAAAGGACATGACGCTCGCGCTCGCGCTCGACGAGCCCCCGATTCCGCCGTAGCTTCCGCCGCTCGCCGAGTCCGAGTCGAGGGGGTATCCGATGTCGTTTGCGCCGCTGGTGCTGCGCCGTGATTTGCCGCCCTGGCGGCGGAACATGGAGGGGAGGCGGGCGCGGGAGAGGGAGGAGGTTGAGGTGCCGCCTTCGCTGTGGAGTTGTTGGAAGGATTCGAATTCTTGGAGGAGGTTGTTGAGGCTGCGGAGGAACTCGATGGGGGTGTTTGCGTAGAGGTCGACGATTGTGGGGAGGGAGAGGCCGAGGAGGAGGTAGTTTGTTGCGCGGCGGGC